TTAAACAAAATTTGAAAGGGAGGAAAGACAACAAAACTCAAAAGAACAAAACTCAAAAGAAGCAAGGAAATGAAATTTGAAATGAAAGCTTCCTACACCAATGTCTTTGTGTTAATCATCATGTTTTTAGTATGTAAATAACTTTATTCATGCATGTAATATAGAAATGTTAGTTGTTGTTTTTGTAAATTTTTTAATGTTTAATGTTGTTGTTTGTTGAGATTGAAGATTTCATTGTGTTAGTAATATATGTTGTTGTTATACTTGCTCTATCCATCTTTTAATACTTTATCATCATCATATTTTGAATTCTGAAGTATGAATTAAGTATGACTTACTTCCTTATCAAAATTTATCTTAGAACCATCAATTATGTCCACCGTGATTAACATTTTCACCAATTATGTTAGTAATATATATTGTTGTTGTAGAGTGTTTAATTGTTTTTGTTTGTTTGTTGCTCAGGAGCTTCTGTGGTGTGATACTTTTAACATAAGATTAATTTTTTAAATAAGTTAATAAGTGTCTTAAAATTTATATGTAAAAATACGTAATTTTTTGGTTTATTTTTATAAGGTAATTATAGATAGTAGTTGGATGAAAACTAATAGATTAATTTCAGAATATGAGAAATGAGTTGTTGAATTTTTTCAATTCACCGAAAGAAATCTTCCTAACAACAATGAAGTTTTGTATTGTCTTTGTGTTTTTTGTGGAAATGACAAAAAACATGAAAATAAAGAAACATTGAATCATTTATGTAGTGATAGAATTTGTCAACATTATACGACATGGACATGGCATAATGAAGTGACAAAAACCCCAATTATGACACACAAATATGAAGTTGGTGTAGATATAGATGGTCGACTAGAAGATATGATTTGTAATATTAAAGAAGATTCTTTAAAAAGAGTCCATGTGTATGATATTTTATATAGTGACAAGGAAGAGCCATTATATCTAGGGTGTATAAATTTTATATGATTGTCAATGGCATAGGCAGTTTCACCGTACGGCCACCTTGGACAACTGCCCAAGCTCCAATTTTTTTTTATAAACAAAAAAAGGCCAAAAAGTGAAAGAAAAAAAAAGGGCAAAAATAATTTTTTTTGTTATATATTATGTGAATTTTCGGTCTTTAAATTTTTTGTCCGGGTTTAATTTTCGATCTTTAAATTTTATTCCCAGGCTTAATTTTCGGTCTTTACATTTTTTCCCAGGCTTTATAATCTTACTGTCTCCGCCATTGTCATTGGTGGTTTTAAGGCCCGACCAGGCTAGGCACATGCCCAAGCTCTGTCCCTATTTTTTACGATAACCTATTTTTTACGGATCTATTTTCATAATTTCGAGTTAATTTTTTGACAATTTCGAGTCAGTTCTGGTTTTGCAATTTCAGAAATGATTCTAAATACTAGCATACAACATTATGAAGCTAAGTGGATGAATGTTTACCTGTTAAAAATGCAGTTTTTAGTCTTGTCCACAAAGTGTTCGATAGAATGGTTTAATAGTTTAACCAACTTTCTCACCTCTTTTCCCTTCAATTCTTTCACTTCATGATGTTAAATAATTGTTGTTGTTGATGATTATTGTTCTTACAGGTTGTGGTTTATGAATCCGTATCGAATTTTTGTTGTTACCAATGTTTTGCAACTTGCACACTAAATGTTTAGTTAATTGTCTCAACCAATAAATGTGAACATATATCTCTCTCTCATAGTCCTGTGCCTCCCCTTATCTTCCTTTAGTTAATTTTGGCTCATAGAACTGAAACTTTACAGGTACAAGGATTGGTGGATAATCTTGATCTGGTTATACAAAAAATAGAAGAAGCTGGATTTTCACATGACAGTTCTTCATCCATGTTGATGGGGCATTATTTGGTCTCATGAAATTAGTTGATGATGTCAAAGCTCGATTGGCCACAACGAGAGAGAGTGGTTGGGATAATTTATTTTCTGATGTCCAAGATTTTTGTGTTGCTAAAGGTATTCCAGTTCCAAATATGGATGATGAAATACCGGTTCGGGGTCGTTCAAGGGTAGAAGGGAGGACTGTCAGTAATCTTCATCATTACCGTACAGAGATTTTTTATGTTGCTATTGACAAAATATGTGTGGAGATGGATCATCGCTTTAGTGAAGAAAGTAACATTATCCTTAATTGTTTTTCATGTCTTGATCCCAAAAACCTCTTTCTCCAAGTTTAATGTTGATAAGCTTGCTCGTCTTGCGGATATTTATCGTGTAGACTTTTCTGATGATGACCGAGGAACAATAAGGGATCAACTTGAGACTTATGTTCTTCAAGTGAGAAGAAATGCTTCATTTTCCACTTGTGAAGATGTTCAAAGTTTGGCTATGAAGATGGTTCAAACTGAGAAACATTTAGTATTTCCATTGGTTTATAAACTTATTGAGTTAGCTTTGATATTGCCGGTGTCGACAGCATCCGTTGAAAGAGCTTTTTCAGCAATGAAGATTATCAAGTCTAAATTGCGCAATAAGATCAATGATGTGTGGTTCAATGACTTGATGGTATGTTACACTGAGCGGGAGATATTCAAATCACTTAATGATATTGATATTATTCGAACATTCACCGCAAAAAAGTCTCAGAAAGGACATTTGCCTCGTAATTTTATTTAACCCGCTATTGTAAGGTTATATTTGTCTCTTTTATTTTAAACTATATTTTTGTGGACAAAATGGCGAGTCTCTGTTATTTTGATTGATGAGTATTTATATATTATATACAATGTGAATTTGCGATCTTTAATTTTTCGCCCAGGCTTTATAATATTTCTGGCTCCGCCACTGGTCAATGGTGTTAAAATTATTTAATCCAAAGGCAAAACGTAGGTGGACGGATTAAGATTCATTGAATTACTTGAATTGTTGAAAGACACGCTTCCAGAAGGTAACATGTTTTTGAACCGTCATTATAAGATCAAGAAGATATTATGTCTAACGGGTATGGATTATATCAAAATACATGCATATCATAATGATTTCATATTATATAAGAATGAGTATGAAAAATTGAATCAGTGCCTGAAGTATGAGGAGTCTCCCTACAAGCTGAAGGACGGTGATGCTGCTAATGATGATGATGTAAGCAAGAAGGGTCCTCCGGTCTGGTGTTGTGGTACCTACCGATAATTCGAAAGTTCAAGAGATGGTTTGCTAATGTAAATAACACAAAGAATATTAGATTGCATGTAGATGAAAGAAAATATGATGTAAAAATTTGTCATGTATCTAATTCTTTTTAATGGAAAAATTGCTTCGTTGTTTTCACATTTTGGCCATGAGCTAAGAAACCTTAGATTTAGACTTATTACCGATGGTTTATCGAAATATAAAAGTTGTAGGTACTCAAATTAATCACTTCGTACTTTTCAAGCACTCGTACTTTACAGAATTTGTAATAGTATAATTTTATAGGATTCTAAGAAAGGAAGGTCTACGTGATGCAAAATACATTGGCGAGAGACGAGTTGTCCTATGAAGCCATTAGGTTGCTTGGATCTTAATAGCAACATGTCTAGTTGAGCTAAGTCCACTTGAGTTCATTCTCACCATTCATTTGTCTAGTGGACATGGGAGATGACATGTCCCATCACAAGAGATTATAGAAGAGAGGATCAAAGAGGATAATTGCTTTCCTCTCCACGTTTCTGATGGAGGAGTTGAGATAATCATTTTTTAGCCCAAGATTAAAAAAGTATCTATAAATACTTCAATTTTAAGGCTAAGGAGGGATATTCAGTCTTTTCTCCACAAAAAGTCATATATAAAGCTACTCACTTCACGTGAGTTAGTTCTAAATGTAGAAAGTTATCCGAAAAATACAAACACAATCCTATAAATATAATGTTATCCTTATTAGGGACGGTTCAATAAATTTGGAGGCCTAAGGTACAATTTAGAATAAAATATTTTAAAAGTAAAATATATATATATATATATATATATATATATATATATATATATATATATATATATAATTTTTATTTTAAAATAAAAAACCATCAATAAATTTCTAAATTACTTTTTTTTTTCAATTAAATCTTTAAATAATATAAAATAAAATATATTAATTGTATTAATTTAATTTTTATTTAATATTTAAAAAGCTCATGTTAATTTTTATCATCTTAATATTGTGAATTAAATTTACTAATTTTATATATTTCTTGAGTTACATAGTAAAATTAATTAATTATTATTTATAAAATTAAGAATTATATAAAAAATTATTTTATTTAAAATTATTTATTAAAAATAACTATTTTTATTAGTGTGAAAACAATAGTAGATCTTAGTCATTTTTATGAAATAAAAATATATAAGATATTAAAATCAAAATTACACATAATTTTCTCATATAAAAATAAAACATAATTATATTTATTTAATAATAATTTTATTTATTACAAATGAAATCTATGAAATTTTAAAATAAATAATTAATAATATCATAAATAATAAATATATTGTTTGATCAATGATTAATTTGATTGAATAAAAAAGCACGTCTAATGATTTGTAGTATTAATCATTACAAAATTTGATTAAAGAAAAGAGAAAAATAGACTCCAGAACTTACAGAAGTAAGTATCGAACCGTTTTCACAAAAGAAAATTGAGAGTTACTTTACAATTAATTGAGAGTTACTTTACAATTAAGATGGTACATATTTCTTGAATATATTTCTTAATTTATTTATTAAGAGCTCTTTTTATTAATAGTACAATATAAATAGTCCACTGGTTTAGGCACATTGTTTCCTACACTGGTAACATTTTTATTCTTACTTCTAAAGACATTGAGATAGAACAACCATAGATTTTGATTGCAGTTCCTAATAATTGACCACAAATGTAGCATGAATATTTTATGAATCCAATAGATAATAATCCTAGCAGCACCTATATATTATTGACCATATCTACTCTCAAGCCCATTCACTACCAAAACAAAACACAAACCATGAAAAGCACAACAATGCTAGAACTTCTATTTCTCCTTGCCTTGCTCTCACAACCACTACCTGGAACAGCTAAAGCTTCACCCGATCAAGTCCTCGATGTATTGGGAAAGAAGCTTCGAGTTGATGCTGACTACTACATCATCCCGGCTAATGGCGGAGAGATCTCCCTTGAAAGTTCTATTGGTGAATCTTGCCCTCTTCATGTACTAGTTGTGAAACATAGCCAAGGTTTTCCACTAAGGATCGCACCGGTCAAAGGCGCGATTCGTGTCTCCACTGATCTCAATATAATGTTGGCTAACTATGATTCCAGGTGTCCCAACTATTCAGTTGTGTGGAAGATTGATCTTTTTTCCAAAGAAGAAACATTTGTGACTACAAATGGTGTATTGGGTCATCCGGGTTCAAATTCGATTCTAAGTTGGTTTAAGATTGAGAAGTATGAAGATGCTTATAAGTTGGTGTATTGTCCCACAGTGTGTCCTTCTTGCAAACATGCATGTAAAGATATTGGGATTTATGTGTATAAGAATAGGGAAATGCGTTTGGCACTCACTAATATTCCTTTGAAAGTTAAGTTTCAGGAAGCTTGATTGAATTAAAAGTGTACTTACAAAGATTATTATGTTTTATTTATAAAAAATATATGAATGAATAAATTATTGTTATATAATGTTCTCAACCTTTTGTCTAAATTATTGGGCATCTCATTTTAATATTTAGAGAATAATTTTTCTAGTTTGATCAAATCACAGAAAGACAAAGATGCCTAAGAACTTTAATATTGTTGTAACTTTTATAAGTCAATTTTGAATTCAAATCAGCAATTGAACTAAAAGAGATCATCATCATCCCAACTAAATATTCTATATTTGAAATTTGACTTGTTCTTTAAAATTAATTTCAGTTCCTTCTATAGTGTTGAATTAATTAATAAAAAATGACATAAAATGAATATTGTTTTACTTTTCAAAATATAATCTAAATTGTTTTTTGATTCTATTCTAAATATTTGTTTCTGCCACTTTTAATTCTATATGAAACAAAAGGTCGGCCATTAGAACTGTGATTTTAATTCTGTGTGGCGTGGATCTTATAATATAAAAATGTAAATTGAACAAATGCAAAATGTGAATTGCAACGGGTTGTCAATCGTCGCAAAATTGTGTGTCAGCAGCCTATTCTACAACAGTTTGAAAAATTGCTGCTCTAATTAGGATAGCGATTTGGCTTATATCCAATTGGTATATGCAAAAAATATCCACAACGGTAATGGTAAAAATCCACAAAATAGATATGGGTACAAACACGCGCCCAGATCATTACTCATTAAAATAAGCGGATATGTATATATCGGTATGAATACTTTAATATCTATCATGTCTCATACACGCACTACATATTTATATAATGTTATTTATATTATAATATAAAAATGCATGTTTATCAATTTTAAAAAAATATATCATTATTAAACTATTACACATTTTAATAAAAGTGTATGTTTATTTCTTAACACAACAATAGCATCCATAATTTTTTTAATATTGTTAAAAGCTTATGATATTTTGTAATTGATCGATTCAATTTTACTACAAATACGGGTATGAGTATTGAGGTACCCATAAGATAAAGGTAGGATATGGCTCTGCTACGAGGACTTTTTAAACCACAGGTATAGAGACGTGTACTATAGTATCTTGTCCAAACCATACTCATTGTCATCCCTAGCTCTAACAGCCTTTAAGATTTGCAAAAGTTATAGGATTGCAGGAACAACATATTAGCATTGATTTTAACTATCACCAATTTTAGTTGGTATTTTTGTGTTAAATGTTTATTTAATAGTTTTAACCGTCGCAAATGTGAATTATTACAGTTCAAACTGCCGCCAATTTTTGGGTGAGAAATCTATAATATACATTTTGTTGCCTTCAAACAAATTATTACATAGTTTCTGTTTGGTTTCCCTTGACCTATAATCATGCATTACTTCCCTCATGCAATCTAACAGTGACCCACCATCCTTCAAAAAGATACACGCCAAAAGCCTACAGTTAATGCTTCCATTCCATCAGCACAGTTTACAAAGCCGCTGAGTTCATATACATTATGACAACATGTTCTCCTAAGTCCTTTGCAGAGTAATCCTCCCCAAAATGTAGATGAGTTTCTTCCTTCTGTTTCCCTTTAAAATGCCGTGTATCTTGGCAACACAATATTGCAATTTATTAAACAAGATACAACATCGAGGCTTTTCATGTGACAAACACAACATTCTGCATCCTTTTGCATGATATTAGCGCCTATATAAGTTATTCTTTCTCTTAACCCTTTTGTGCATTGACCTTTGAAGTTCTTTTGGGTGCAGCAGAGAGCTCGTTGAGATCCTCTAGCAAAACTTTAGTAACTTGAAACATTATTGTCAATCTGGGGAAGCATAGAGTTCATGTTGAGATCCTCTTACAAAACTTTAGTAACTTAAAAATTTGAAGTGTAAAACTTATGGTCACGATTATCCGGTGACTTGTACCGATATCGTTTATGTTGAGGACAATTGGTTTCGGTTAACTCAATTGTCCAATCAAGAAATGCAAGATGGTTCCTTACTTTCGTCATCATAAGTTCGCGAATCTTCTTGCTCCTGCATACAAGTGCATACTCTTGAATAACTTCAGGATATAATTCAACTTTAGACAGTCTCAGAGATTTCTAAAGTATGGACTTATAATGTCTCTGTTTTTTACTGTTATATGATTCAAGCTCTTAATGTAAAATAATTTGTTTCTCAAAGTCCCCACCCACCAAAGGAATAATGCTAGTCCTAGCATTTTGTGATTTGTATCGGATGGACTTTAGCAAGTGTACTAAATTGTATCGAAGTAATAAAATTAAATTTGTATTCATAAGTATTATTTTATTTGAAAAAAACAACTATCATGGTATTATAATGAAATTGGAGGTTTTCAAAATTGGATTTGATATAAAAAAGTGCGTAAATAAAATAATGAAACTTTATTAAATTAAAGGTGATTGGGCTTTGTTTCGAATTCTCTGTATGTTGTTGTTGATGTCTGTGTCTATTTGTCTTAGGTTTATTTATTAGAAATTACGACAGTTTAATCTAGCCTTTATATCCTACTCATTGGTTTATAACTCACTATTCTACACTACAACTCCCTAATTCCTTAGGTTAGTTTGTAGATAAAATAGGCATTTAGAATGTTAAACTTTTAAGTCAATACTTAGAATTTCTTATTCCTAATAAATGACTAAATTAAACAATTAATCTAGTTCAGAATCACAAAGTTAGGATCAGTAAACCCTATAATTATAGGTTCTATATATGAGTTCGTCAACATGTACAAAGCAATAAACTCAAGAATTAACTGAATAACGAATACCGATTAATCAAAGTGTTCAAATAGTATAAAACTCAACATATGTCCCAACATGTTCATACAAGTTCATCTAATAAACATTAGTCAAAGGAAATTTTCTACTCATATTGAAATAAATCATAAAAACAGTAGTATGTAAATATTACATGAACTTCTTGTATAAACCTGACTTCTAATGATGAAAACCTTCTTTCTGATGCTCCACTTTGGTCCCTGCTGTCAAAATTCCCGTTCTTGGAAAAATATGATCAAAGATCCCTCTAAAAAGTTGTTTCTTTCCCTTTTATAGCAGTCAAAACGCATCCAAATATGCACCAGATCAAGTTGCGACCCCTTTAGATCGTTCCATGATGTGATGTGTAGAAGTTTGATCGTGTCACGGTTGCTTTACATCATGGCGTGATGTGTATCTTTTCCAGCCAATTTTGTCACAATTTGGGCACGATTTTTCTAGGAGAGAATTGCTTCTTTTCTTCACAAATTCCTTGTCTTTTATAAGTCTTTCATATTTCATAATATTTCTTCATTTTCTTCACCAAACTATTTAATTAATCTGAAAACATGACTAAAACCGCTAAAAAATGCTCAATAAGATTCCAAGATGACATGGTGTCATCACATACCGAAACATACTATGTTACTTATCCTCAATAAAATTACTCGTAAATGATATTCTTACTAGAAATTTGTACATACCAAAAAAATGACAGACACCTTTATTCGGCAAAATCGTTACTTCCCTTCCTTGCTTCAATTCGATTTAACTGAACTAGTCTTTCTTCAACTTCCTATTTACTCAACATGTCTCTGAATATCACATTTCACTCATTGAATGAAACATAGTGATCATTTAATCACATATAACTATCATTAAATAATGAATTTCTTAATATCTAAAAAATAAGTCACTTCCTATTCGAAAACACGCTTTTGAGGTCTTTCAAAGGTTCTAACGTGGCTTATATCAAGGTGAGATATTTTTAGCCAATAGGTTTAATTCTTTGGAGTTAAGTACCTATTACCTTCCTATTTTCACACCTGAATTACATATTCTTATTTTTTAACTAATGGGTACTAGAATTCCGAATTTCTTTTGTTTTTCCATAACCTCTAAATTTTAACGTTTAAAGACATTTTTTCTAGCTTCAAGTCATTCTTTTTTATTTCTTTTTCATCATTTTCTACAATTCTAAGACTCTAGTACCCCTACCCCAAACATAAATCATTTATAATTCTAAAAGCAATTCCAAATTTAGCTTTTTCATGAACTAGAAAGTAAACAACTTACCTACTTAAAGGAGGGTGGAAAGATTACTCTTTCAGTCAATTGGCTAATAATTATTGTTAAGTCACTGAAGTGTTGTTCCTTGTGATTTGTTGCATTAGGTAAAACAACATGGGTAGTACAAGTTTTATTTTGGTGAAGATGCAACATGTGAGACAAGACATTCCAGCATGTGTGTAACTTCTGGCCTCAGTTTACAAACCAAGGTTTATGAGTTAATTAGTGTGTGAATTTGGTTATTTAACAGAGAATTGATGTTTATAAATTGTATTTTTTAGCAAAGATATTTTAAGAAAGATTTGATAAAATATTGTCTGAATCCAAATCAAATTATATGAATATTTAAATTGAATGAAGATCAAATATATCAAACCTCTATGTGATTGTTCAAATCTGCATCTAAATAAAATCAGGGTTGTTCTCAAATATAATGCTCATTGAAGAAAAGCCCAACACATGAATTGTTTAGTGAAAGATGTTTAAGTCACATTCGAGTAGTTAAACATTGCTTGATACTTACGCATGGGATCATGCTTTGTGATGCGTCATCAAGTGCACGGAAATATCGAAGTAATATAAAAGATTGTTGAACCCACAGTGACCAATATTAACCTATTGTAATCTATCATCGCTTTGTAAAGTTAAGGCTAATGAATAATTGATTTAGGGGAAACTAAGACTAAAATAAGATTAAGGAAATATATAAGAAAAGAGAGACCGAAATGTGTATTTTGCGTACCTCATAGACTTTGTAACTCGTTGTCTTTTAATTATACTAAATATGTATTTCGTAGAAAATGTTAATTTAAAGACTAAACCCCACACTCTCGTGGTTTTGAATAAAGTCACATTCCTTAATCGTAGGATTTTGCTCTCGCTCGTCCACTTGAATCCAGGAATGTGTTTT